ATTTGTGACACAAGACATGCAGGTGACTCAGCATATTTACAAGCCCACCCACACACAACTACAAGCTTTCAGAACCTCTTGTAGTTACAAGAACCTGTTCAGTGACTCTATATGTGTATATATATGATAGAAAAATAATAATAAACAACATTTTTCATTGTTGGTTTGTGTAAACATATTTTGTAAACAATATTATGACAGCAAAGTTTGAGCTGTTATTGTGAGTGAATATATACCAAATAGTCTTTATACTGGTCTCAGAGGTCATAAAAGCTACTTGAAAAAATGTATTAAAAAATAAAAGAAAAAAGTAAAAAAAAAACAAAATAAACTTTTACCGGGTGACTTGCAGTCGGTGATGTTGCAGTAAGTGGTTCAATTTCTGTCACCGTCACGCCTCCATATCTCCGTAAGAATTGATCGCAAAATTTTTTTTTGGCGTATAATACTCACACACACACACACAACACACACAAAAAAAATTATCATTTCACAAGAAAAATTTTTTTTTTTTTTTTTTGAAAATTTTTAAACCCTGAGAACAAGTTTGGGAGAGGGCCTGTTGACCCTCAAAGGGTTAACTCACTCTCTGTGTCGAAAAAGAAAAAATCTTATGTAATGATAGAGAATCTTTTCCCGATGGTAATGACACCAAAAGTACGATATTTGATGGAAAACTTACGAAATTACGCTCTCGCGAAGTTAGCTATCTCGGCGATATTTATGCAGCAGCGATTTTGCCCACTTTGAGCCCTATTTTCAGCAAATTCCAATGTTCCAGTCAACTAAAATCATATATTTCGGTAGAACTCCATTTGTTCTATCGATTGAGTACATGAAGCTGCCCATTTACTGATTTCAATTACCCAATAAAGTGGTCAGAAATTGGCAATTTGGCCAATTTCATACAAATTTCAAAAGATGGCAATTTCAAAGTAGGGTCCAGAATAAACAAGGCAGACATTCCTGGCACTAAAATAACATATTCTCTATTCATTAGTCATGTCTCCAGGCCCCTCTTATATTGCTCTTGCTTCCCATTTTGAATTTTTATTCTCACAGAAAAGCAGAAGATTTACTGTTATGCAAACTACTGCATTATTACAATAATCAATCAATCAAGTTTATTCTCTATAAGGATTACAATGCAGGGTTTACAGATTTTGAATATTGTGTGGTTTACATGTTTTAAAATACTAATTACAGAGGGGACCACTAGGACACCTAGCATGGCTAGGCATTTTGGGCAGACTTAGATTAATTCTAAACTTTAAATTATTACAGATTATGGTATTAAGGCTAAGTGACTACATTATAGTTTGTGAGTTTAGCAATGTGAATGCTTTTGTTTTGGCACAATACATAGTGTCTATATTGGAGTATCATAGGCAAACTTATGACTAGTTAGGAATCATTATTTTAAGATTAAGATTCATATTTTTGTGTTTAAAATCAATGGTGAGTGAGTGTAAGTGTGAACCACCAGGTGGTTTACATGTAGTTAGTTGACGGGATGTATCAGGGAGACAAGATGTTTTCTAACTGTAGTTTTGAAAGTGATGAATGTGTCTGCAGTTCTAGAGTTTTCAGGGAGGGTGTTCCAGATTTTAGGCCCTTTGACACACATTGAATTTGTGTAAAGGTTTAGTCAGACATGGGGAATGTCATAGAGATGTTTGTGTCTGGTGTTATGCCTGTGGGTCCTGTCACAACTATCAAGAAAGCATTTTAGGTCAAGGTTAATATTGGAATTTAAGGTCCTGTAGATGTAGATTGCACAGTAGTAAGTGTGGATGTTCTGAACAGGGAGTAAGTTTAGATCTATGAAAAGTAGGGGTGGGGGGGGTGTTGCCAGGGATGAGATTTAATGATTTAGTGATAATTGTATAAATACAGTGGACCCTTGGTTATCGGCCATAATCTGAAAAGGCTGAAAACCGAAATATTTCCCATAAGAATTAATGTAAATCCAATTAATCCATTTCAGACACCCAAAAATATTAACAAAAAATACATTTTTAAAGATTAACTATAGTTTTACGTGCAGAAAACAATGAGAAATAAATGTAAATCACAAATTTTAATGATAAATGAACATTATATATACCTTTATTGAAGACTCTTGTTGGTGTATTGAAGAAGGCAGGAGGGGAGAGGGAGATGGGAGTGTAATAATATGACTGTAGTGTAATAATATGACTGTAGTGCAATAATATGATGTAGTGTAATAATATGACTGTGTAGTGTAGCCCCCTGGGCTACACTACACAGTCATATTATTACACTACACAGCCATATTATTACCATGTTCACTGAGTTCAATCGTTTCTAACAACTACCATTCAATGCCATCATAATTGTAAACAAACGCACATGAAGGGCAGTTACTGGGCGAGACGGCAGATTCACAGTTTTCTCTAGTGCTGAATCAGTGAAAACATAATGCTTACTCTCCACTCGATAGCATATAAACATTGCATGTTTATATGCATGTTTATATGCTATATGTTATGTAACATGTTTCTTATATAATTTTGAAGAAAATATCATAGATGGAATAATGAAAATGTCTATACTAACCTAAAATATGACAATGTGCCCAAGAGTGATTATTATTAAACATACATTGCATATAAACATTGCATGTTTTTATATACACGTACTATGTAATGTGTTTCTTATATAGTTTTGAAGAAAATATCATAGACGGATTAATGAAAATGTTTATATTAACCTAAAATAAGACATTTAATGAGCTCAAGAGTGATTTATTATGCATCCAATATGGCTGATCTCCAAAATAAAGGCCGATAACCAGGATAGAATTTCGGCCAAAAAAGCGGGCGAAAACCGAATTGGCCGATATCTGGATTAGCCGATAATCGAGGGTCCACTGTAATGTCAACCCATTCGTGAATGTGTATTAGACTGGCCAGTTGGACATGCATTGGACAGTGACATCATTTGTTTACTCTTGAACATCGGCAAAAATTTAACATTTCTGCTACTTCGAGCTCAATTTCATCTTGAAACCAATCAAAATCATCTCCATTTCTGTAATATATCTTCCATTCTATCAAATGAGACCAAAAAAACAAGAATACAATCATAAATACCATATGAAAATACACTGCAAAATTGCCGTTTTAAACCAAAAACATGGTCGGAGTTTTTTTTTCTCATTGTGCACAACATGCTGCAGGATTTTTTTTATACTGTTCACACTGACCACGCAGACCCATTCTTTCATATGTAGGCCTACCAGCTTTCTTCCACTAGATTTGAAGGAGCTAGAATTTTGGAGTAGTATTACAGGACCGACACTGAAAGGGTTAATATATTTTATTGTAGGTCAGGTTATGATAGATTAACCCTTTCACGGTCTCTTGTGTAGATCTACGTTACTGATCCCAGTGATGGTCACGTATATCTGTTTTGAGCTTAGTTCCTTCAGTTAAGCTGTGAGAGGTAAATTTTGGCCTAGACATGAAAGAATGGGTCTATGTAGTGAGTGTGCATGGTATAAAAACAATCCTGCCCCACACAGCACAAAGTGGAAAAAGCAAACCTCTGACCTCAAATTTTTTTTTTTTAAAGATACTTTGAGGTCTTTTCCTTCCAGGATAGCTTTTATGGTTTTATTGATTGTTACTTGGTATTATTTTATAGAATGGAAGACATGCTACTGTCTGTTTTAAAGGTTTTACTAGGCCCATTTTAATTATTGGGACACCCTAAACTGTGACCAATCATGGGAGACAGCCGACTTGTTGAGAAAAAAAAAAAAAAAAAAAAATCTGAGAAATAGGGTAAAACTTCAAATTTAAAATGGATGGTGAGCATAACACAGGAGAGGCCTGAGAACATGATTAATGAACAGAGGGACGGTTCCTTTCTTGGTTCCAAAGACTACAGTGTTCATTTTATATAAAATTGGACATATTACCAACTTCAGATACATGAATGGGCAGTTTCTTGTGCTCAATCAATACAGTAGAAGGCATACTAGCGAAAAAGCTAAAAATTTAGTCAAATTGGGTGAATACACAAATAACCCACGCATAGGAGAGAGGAGCTTACGACGACATTTCGGTCTGACCTGGTTATTTGTGTATTGTTCCAGTCATGGAATTGTGCCTTTTGTTATTTATTATTTATTTATAAATTGGGTGAAATCACCAAAGAGTAAATTGAGTCCAGACTGCCAACTTTGTGCCTGAATATTTCCATAAGTTTCCCATCAAATTTTGCATTTTTGGTGTCAATACCTTCAGTAAAATATTCTATACCATTTCAGAATAATTTTTTTTTTTAAATTTCTGACACTGAAGCAGTTAAACCAACCTACTTATATACTTTTTTTTTTCAATGAAACGGTCGTATCCCATCATGGTGGGGTGACCTAAAAAGAAAAACAGAAGTTTCTCGTTTTAAATTTAGTAATGTATACAGGAGAAGGGGTTACTACCCTCTTGCTTCCGGCATTGTAACTGCCTCCTACGATATGCATGACTTACGGAGGAAGAATTCTGCTCCACTTCCCCCATGGAGATAAGCAGAAATAAACAAGAACAAAAACTAGCAAGAAAATAGAAGAAACCCAGAGGGTTGTGTATACATATGCTTGTACATGCATGTGTAGTGTGACCTAAGTGTAAGTAGAAAGATGTACCTGAAACCTTAGATGTTTGCAAGATAGAAAAAGAGACTAGCGATCCTACCATCATGTAAAACAATTATAGGTTTTTGTTTCACATTCATTTGGCAGGATGCCAGTACCTCCCTGGATGGTTGCTGTCTACCAACATACTACCATGTATATATACATCTGATAATAAATAAGCAAACCAAAAAATGCATAATGTTAAAATCTGCTTTGTTGTTTTAAGACAAGATGTGAGGACTGATTGACTGTTAATAAGTTTTTATAAATTGTAAATGAACCTCTTGCTCAGAAAAGCCTAAACAAGAGTCACATTTTGGAAAGTGATCAGCCTTACCGACTTGAGACACAACAACTGCAATGTCTACTAGTCGCTTGCCCCCCGAGCCCAGTGCATATAGTCCTACGTCTCCATACGTTAGATCTGTTGATGGGGTGGGAGGGTGGCGCTCATCCTCATCCTCATCATCTGAGGAGTCTGGCGGAATAAGTGGTACCTGTTGGAGAAATATAGAGAGTGAATCTGTGTACTGTACTGCAATACAGTATTCGACAGATTTAACTCACCTGGAGTATACCTGGAGAGAGTTTCGGGGGTCAATGCCCCCACAGTCCGGTCTGAGACCAGGCCTCATGGTGAATCAGGGTCTGATCAACCAGGCTGTTACTGCTGGCTGCACACAAACTGACACACAAAACACAGCCAGGCTGGTCAGGTACTGACTTTAGGCGCCTGTCTAGTGCCTTCTTGAAGATAGCTAGGGGTCTATGGATAATTTCCCTTATGTATGCTGGGAGGCAGTTGGACAGTCTTGGGCCCCTGACACTTATTGTGTTGTCTCAGTGTACTCATGGTGCCTGTGCTTTTCATTGGGGAATGTTGCATCTCCTGCTGAGTCTTTTGCTTCCACAGGGAGTGATTTTCGTGTGCAAGTTTGGTACCAATCCCTCTAGGATTTTCCAAGTGTATATTATCATGTATCTTTTTGCCTGTGTTCCAGGGAATACAAATCAAGGGACTTCAACTGTTTCCAGTAATTTAGGTGCTTTATTGTACTTATGTGTGCCTTGAAAGTTCTTTGTACACACTCCAGGTCAGCAATTTTGCCTGTCTTGAAGGGGCCAGGTAGTGTACAGCAGTATTCCAGCCTAGAAAGAACAAGTGATTTGAAGAGAATCACCATGGGCTTGGCATCCCTAGTTTTGAAGGTTCTCATTATCCATCCTATCATTTTTTTATCAGATGCAGTAGATACGTTGCTGTGGTCTTTGAAAGGGAGATCCTCTGACAGTATCACTCCCAGGTCCTTCACATTTCTTATTTGCTCTACTGTGTGGTTAGAATATGTTGCATACCCTGATACAGTTTTAATTTCTTCAAGTTTTCCATATCTGAGTAGTTGAAATTTCTCTTCACTAAACTTCATATTGTTTTGAGTGGCCCATTTGAAGATTTGGTTGATATCCGCTTGGAGTCTTGTGGTGTCTTCAATGGAGGACACTGTTTACCTGGAGACCTGGAGTTTACCTGGAGAGAGTTTCGGGGGTCAATGCCCCCGCGGCCCGGTCTGTGACCAGGCCTCCTGGTGGATCAGCGCCTGATCAACCAGGCTGTTGCTGCTGGCTGCACGCAAACCAACGTACGAGCCACAGCCCGGCTGATCAGGAACTGACTTTAGGTGCTTGTCCAGTGCCAGCTTGAAGACTGCCAGGGGTCTGTTGGTAATCCCCCTTATGTGTGCTGGGAGGCAGTTGAACAGTCTCGGGCCCCTGACACTTATTGTATGGTCTCTTAACGTGCTAGTGACACCCCTGCTTTTCATTGGGGGGATGGTGCATCGTCTGCCAAGTCTTTTGCTTTCGTAGTGAGTGATTTTCGTGTGCAAGTTCGGTACTAGTCCCTCTAGGATTTTCCAGGTGTATATAATCATGTATCTCTCCCTCCTGCGTTCCAGGAATACAGGTTTAGAAACCTCAAGCGCTCCCAGTAATTGAGGTGTTTTATCTCCGTTATGCGCGCCGTGAAAGTTCTCTGTACATTTTCTAGGTCGGCAATTTCACCTGCCTTGAAAGGTGCTGTTAGAGTGCAGCAATATTCCAGCCTAGATAGAACAAGTGACCTGAAGAGTGTCATCATGGGCTTGGCCTCCCTAGTTTTGAAGGTTCTCATTATCCATCCTGTCATTTTTCTAGCAGATGCGATTGATACAATATTATGGTCCTTGAAGGTGAGATCCTCCGACATAATCACTCCCAGGTCTTTGACATTGGTGTTTCGCTCTATTTTGTGGCCAGAATTTGTTTTGTACTCTGATGAAGATTTAATTTCCTCATGTTTACCATATCTGAGTAATTGAAATTTCTCATCGTTGAACTTCATATTGTTTTCTGCAGCCCACTGAAAGATTTGGTTGATGTCCGCCTGGAGCCTTGCAGTGTCTGCAATGGAAGACACTGTCATGCAGATTCGGGTGTCATCTGCAAAGGAAGACACGGAGCTATGGCTTACATCTCTATGTTAGATATGAGGGTGAGGAATAGGATGGGAGCGAGTACTCTGCCTTGTGGAACAGAGCTTTTCACCATAGCGGCCTCAGACTTGACTCTGTTTACTATTACTCTTTGTGTTTTATTTGTTATGAAGTTATAGATCCATCTACCAACTTTTCCTGTCATTCATTTATCACGCATTTTGTGTGCTATTACACCATGGTCGCACTTGTCGAAGGCTGTCACAAAGTCTGTGTATACTACATCTGCATTTTGTTTATCCTCTATAGAATCCAGGACCTTGTCACAGTGGTCCAGTAGCTGGGACAGGCAGGAGCAACCTGCTCTAAACCCGTGTTGCCCTGGGTTGTGTAAATGATGGGTATCTAGGTGGCTGGCAATCTTGCTTCTTAGAAACCTTTCAAAGACTTATGATATGGGGTGTTACTGCTATCGGTCTGTAGTTCTTTGCAATTGCTTTACTGCCACCTTTGTGGCAGATTTAGCTTATGTACACTTACTATTATCTGAAGTTTTATTTCTATCAGTAATTCTGTATATGCGATATAAATTCATCATGTAATTGGTATAGTTCGCAAAGTACATTGAAGATTCTTACAATATGGAATTAAAGTGCTTATGGCCTCTTGGAGCTTAGTACAGCTACCTTGGGACTGGAATGTATCTACATCACAAAGAGGGATGCCTGTATTTGCAAAGAAAATACACTAAAAATATTGTAGTTTCTCTGTACGATCAAAATTCTATGCAACAAAAGCACATCAATTTCAATTTTATAACTTTTAGAAATAATTTAGTAGGGTATGAAAGTACAGTACTATACTGTATATATTTACTGCAGTTACCACAGCAGTGCAAAGAATAAGATTATCTTTAGATATACAGAATAAAATATACTGGTAACAATAAATGTAGTAAAATAAGAATAGTACAGTACCTTAGTATCCATGATGATAGATCGGCCACCTGCCCTGCCACCTGACGTAAGAATAGCATACTTGCAATCAATGAGCATAAGCATAGCAGCAACACTAAGATAACCAACCACTGCCATGATTAATGCTCCTTCCATAATGCCAGCCTGAAAAGAAAATGTTAACCAAAGTACATGAGTACAGTATAGGTAAAATTATCTTTTATTGTACAGTACAGTGGAACCTCGGCTTATGAGTTTAATCCATTACGTGACCTTGCTCGTATCCCAATCTGTTCATATGCCGAGTCAATTTCCCTCATTTAAATTAATTGAAATGCCATCACTCCGTTCCAGTGGAATTCCTGCTCTCAGGAGGCAGGACAAAATACTTGAATATGACGCTAATATCAACTCTACAGCTTATGTATCTATCACAATTCATCTGATATAATAAACAATACAAATAACATAGAAACCTGATATATACTCTAGAATGAATAAAATACTATGTCATTATGTAACAAGTGGTGGCGGCCATTCCTTACCTCAAGCAGCCACCTTGTTGAGGGTCAGCGGGGAAGACCTCCCGCCATCCTCTGCCATCCCCTGACACCACCATCCCAGCTTTCATGAATGTGTGTTCAGTTCCACTGCTCTCCTACAAGCTAGCTGTGTTTGTGAATTATGTTTTGATCTTTTAACCCATTAACTGTCCAAATGTAGATCTACATTCTTACCGCTAGAGCTCCAAGTGAAGATCTACGTTTTATTTTTCCTGCCTCCAAATTTGGCATGACTGGCCTGAGATGCTTGGTCAGCATAGAATGGGTCTCAAAGCTCAGTGTGTGCAGTATTAAAAAAAATCTGGGACCATTTAGTACCATGTGGGAGCACCAGTTCAACTGAGCGCCAACTAGAGCAGACAGCACGGCAAACAACAAGGATTCACTGATGTGTCGTATTAACACTCCCCTTTCAAGAGGAAAGTGTCATCCTTCCAGAAAGTTCTATAACCTATGCCTTAAGTAAAAAGAAAATTCTGGAACTGTAATTTCGGCAGGCTGGCTGGCCAGCTGGCTAGCCGGCGGCTGGCTGGCTGGTGGCTGGCTGGCAGCTGGCCGGTTGATTGGCAGTCAGTTGAATGCAAAGAGTATGTAACCTTTTTTAGGGGCATGTTAACACACTCACATAGGCTGCTTCACCAACCAGCGAACCAGATACTAAAGGTTTGACAATCCAACAGGGCCCCATCGTCAGATCAGTATCTAGGTTCAGCCAATCACATGTGGATCTGGCAATTGTGAAGGTGACATGGTTACCATTCACTTTTTCACCCTTGTCATTTTCATTCTACTGATGGTTGAAGCACAGTGGTCTGCTCTCTCTTAGCTGCTGTTCTGCCTTGATTACTATGGCATGCACTAATGCTTATTGCTGTACATAGTGTACATACTTCTGTTTATACTCGATGAGGGATAATATAATTCAAAGTTTTTCTGTGTTTATTTTGCTCCCTTTACACCCAGGATAAGAGGCCTTTGAGCACCTGGGTTGTAGTATGGGGGCCTGTCCTGGGAGCTGGATCTGGTGCTGGACTTAGAGAGGGAGATGAGCCTAGAGTTGAAGTTAGAGCAGGAAGTAATATCGCAGATAGCTGGCTATCTGGCATTGTGTCAGCTTTGCCAACGCTTCATGAATTTTGTGTGTCAACTTTGCATTTGTTATGGTCAGCCTTGCTATTGTGTGATTGTAGATAGCTTGCTGTTTTGCGTGTCAACTTTGCATTCGCTTTGCTTCACTATTGTGTGAGTATTCTGCAGTTGGTTTTGCTATTGCGTGTCAACCTTGCTACTGTATGTGCATATCCTGCATTCGTCTTTGACTGTTATGCGTCAGCCTTGCTATCGTGTGGGTATTCTGCAGTCATACAGTGCATAGCTTGAGAGTGTATTGCAAACAGAGTGTTATGCTGGGGTTAATGCCACCTAGATGAGTCAGATTGCTTGTGTCTGAATATATACTCTATTAAACTTGCCTAAGTTTTCTCTACAGCGATGTTGGTGAATTGCTTGTTCCATCGGCACCGAGTATGAATGCACTCTTACTGCTGTGCAGCTTCGTAACCTTATAAGCGTCAAACTTCGAGCAGAGGAGATGGCACATCAGACTTCTTCTCCCTGTCATACAGGAACCAAGCATAAATCCCCACTGTAGTTCCTGCCAAAAGAGGGAAAAGACACAACCCCTGAGCAAAACCAGCAGCCTGAAGCGACGGGGTTGTCTGAAGGTGAGTCAGCTTCATTGGCACTTGAGTTGGCAAAAACCCATCTTGAGCAAATCATGGAACAGCGAGCATATGCTAAAGAAGAGTTTGATAGAGAAAAGGAGAGGAGGCAGTTTACTCAAGCTGTAAATGACTTTAGTTTGCAAAAAGCAGTACAGCTTTCCTTGTTTCATTGAAGCCGAGCCTGAACAATTTTTTGAAACTTTCGAAAACCTAGCTTGAGCCTTGAGGTGGCGTGAACAGCACTGGGCATCTTTGGTGCATACAGTGTAGTTTGGTAAGGCACAGGAATTTACATCAGTGTTAAATGACACTGACTTTAGTAACTATAATGTGGTGAAGACTACGGTTCTTGGTGCTTATCAATGTATTCCTGCCAAATACAGAAAGGAATTCAAGTTAAGTAGACGACAGCTGGGTACAGTTAATATTGGTGGATAACCTGCTGGAGTCTGTTGGACCAGAGGTTCGAGTCTTGCTGCAGGATCACGTGTTATTCCATTATTTTTTGTGCTTGTAACTGCTAAATGGGCCCAAAGAAAGTTTCTAGTGCCAGCCCTGTGTTAAAGAAGGAAAGAAACATAATGAAATTCAAGAAAAAACTCATAGCAAAGTACCAAAGTGGAGGAGGAAGAGAGGGGAGAATGTGCCTTTTGCAGTGATTCAGTGATTCTATGATATGTACAATACTAAAGCAGCAGGTATTGATAAAGGTTATAGTGCCAGCCAGCGATAAAGTGTAGAATTAACAGTGTAGCAAGTAAGTTAAGTGAGTAAGCAATAGAAAAACGATGCAAAAGTAACTCTCCAATGTTGTTGGATGTGTATCGGGCCAATGAACATAACGCCGCCCTGCTATGCATCTTCCACCACCCTAAACCTCTGCCAGCATCTCCTCCATCAAACTAACTAATTAACCCCTTGACTGTTGCAACCTCAAATCCTGAGGTGTCTTCTGACGTCGCAAAATTCCCCACCCCCCCCCCAAAAAAAATTTCTTATGAAATGATAGAGAATCTTTTCCCAGTTGTAATGACACCAAAAGAATGAAATTTGATGGAAAACTGATGGAATTACGCTCTTGTGAAGTTAGCGACCTCGGCGATATTTACGAATCGGTGATTTCACCCACTTTGAGCCCTATTTTCGACTAATTCCACTGTTCCAGTCGATCAAACTCATGGCTATTTCTTTAGAACTCCATTTTTTCTACCGACTGAGTACAAGAAACTGCCCATTTACCGATTTCAACTACCCAATAACATGGTCAGAAATTTGCAATTTGGCCAATTTCATGAAAATTAAAAAATATGACAATTTCAAAATAGGGTTCCTGGCTCTAAAATAACATTTTCTATGTTCATCAGTCACATCTCCAGGCCCCTCTGATATTACTCTTGCTTTCCATTCTGAATTTTTATTCAGACAAAAAATAAAAGATTTACTGTTATGCAGACTACTGCAATATTGTAATAATTGTATAAATAATGTCAACCCATTCATCACTGCATATTAGAATGGCTACTTGGACATTTACTGGAAAATAACATCATTTGTTTACGTTTGAACATTGGCAAAAATCAAACATTTCCCCTACTTTGAGCTCCATTTCAAGGTTCTTTTCATAGTAAAACCAACCAAAATCACCTCTATTTCTATAATATGTTTTCCATTCTATCAAATGAGACCAAGAAAACGAGAATACAGCCATAAATACTATACGAGAATAGACCACAAAGTTGGCATTTTAATTAAAAAAAAAAAACGGTCGGAGTTTTTTTTTTCTCATTATGCACTGTGTGCTGCAGGATTTTTTTTATATGGTGCACACTGACCACACAGACCCATTCTCTCACATGTGGGCCTACCAGCTTTCTCCTGCTTGATTTGAAGTGTATATACGTCAAACACGGTGGCTCGTAAGATGTATATGTAAGACCAAAACAATCAAAGGATTAAACTAACATCTCCTCCAAGATGAGTGTAAGTGTAAAAGTAAATATGTGTAAATATAAAATGACCCCAATGGAAATAAGTCACTGACTTTTTTGGGTTATCCTAGATACTTTACATATATGCTGCTATGTATGATAATCTATGCATGTAACTATTTGTGTATACATGAATAAACTTACTTATTAATTAAAATGCAAATATTTCTTATTTATAAATTAAAATGTAAGTATTTCTTATTTATAAATTATGTACATATATTGTTTGTGGATAGTGGTGGTGGCAGAAGGCTCCTCCACCACTAATATGGACGGCTTCTCTCAGTGGTCATTATAAACCCAACAACAATACTTTCACCACTTACTTCTTACATACAATATATTTTATTCATTCTAGAGTATATATCATGTTTCCACGTTATTAACCCCTTGACTGTCGCAACCCCCAATCCTAAGGCGTCTCCTGGTGTCGCAAAATTTAAAAAAAAAAAAAATTATTTTTTCTTATGAAATGATAGAGAATCTTTTCTCCGATTGCAATGACACCAAAAAAACAAAATTTGATGAAAAACTGATGGAATTACGCTCTCGCGAAGTTAGCGACCTCGGCGATATTTACAAATCGGCGATTTTGCCCACTTTGAGCCCTATTTTCGGCTAATTCCATTGTTCCAGTCGACCAAACTCATAGCTATTTCTTTATAACTCCGTTTTTTGTATCGATTGAGTACAAGAAACTGCCCATTTACCAATTTCAACTACCCAATAACGTGATCAGAAATTTGCAATTTGGCCAATTTCACGAAAATTAAAAAATATGACAATTTCAAAATAAGGTCCAGAATGAACAATGCAGACATTCCTGGCTCTAAAATAACATTTTCTTTGTTCATCAGTCATGTCTTCAGGCCCCTCTGATATTATTACTCTTGCTTTCTATTTTGAATTTTTATTCGAACAAAAAATAGAAGATTTACTATTATGCAGACTACTGCAATACTATAATAATTGTGTAAATAACATCAACCCATTCATGACTGCATATTAGAATGGCTAGTTGGACATTTATTGGACAATGACATCATTTGTTTACTTTTGAACATCGGCAAAAATCAAACATTTCCCCTACTTTGAGCTCCATTTCCAGGTTCTTTTTATAGTAAAATCAATCAAAATCACCTATATTTCTATAATATGTTTTCCATTCTATCAAATGAGACCAAGAAAACGAGAATACAACCATAAATACTATACAAAAATAGATCACAAAGTCGGCATTTTGATTAAAAAAACGGTCGGTGTTTTTTTTTCTCATTATGCACTGCGTGCTCCAGGATTTTTTTTATATGGTGCACACTGACCACACAGACCCATTCTCTCACATGTGGGCCTACCAGCTTTCTCCTTCTTGATTTGAAGCCGCTAGAATTTATGAGTATATACAGTGGACCCCCGCTTAGCGATCACCTCTCAATGCGACCAATTATGTAAGTGTATTTATGTAAGTGCGTTTGTACGTGTATGTTTGGGGGTCTGAAATGGACTAATCTACTTCACA